TCAACTTGTGGGTCCCTTGATGTTTTGGCCTTCAACTCCCAGAAATCCTAACTGCTGGTAAACTGGCTGGGATTTCTGGAAGAAGAAGGCCAAAACACCCGGGGACCCATAGGTTAAGAACCACTAGTTTAAAAGGAGTTAACCTATCTGCCTTGCTTTGATTCATGGTGATGATCAAGATGATCAGAGCAACACTTTTTTCTGTGGACTAAAGGATTTAGGAAAACCTTGGTGGTTTGGATCAGGGTATGGGAGGTGCAAATCCTACTGGGTGACATCATCGTGTGTGTGTGAGAGAGAAACTCCATGAATAATATTGCTGTCATGCCTTTTTCTCCCCATTTTTGTTACAGAGAGAGAGAGAAATTGAGTTAAATCCTTACAATCCTTCCAAAGCTGAAGAAAATCTCAGTTTAAGCTCACTATCTTTCTGGAGTGAAGTGAGAAACCTCAATTTATATGGTATCCTGCCAAAAGTGACCCCTTGAGGAAAGGGGAAGGTTGAGGGTTCTGAGCTCACCCCAATGACCTCTGGGGTATTTTTTAAAGAGTAAAGTTTTTTAAGTGATGTTTTCAATGGTGGCCTTTTGCAGACTAGAGAGAAAAAAATAAAGGGAATATTTAGGAAATGATATCCTTTGAAACTGCAACTGCAGTGAAACCTAATGATCACCTTAGGAAGAGTGCAGAATCCTCACTGAAGTTGATGTGAATCAACTCCTATGATAGCACCGCTATGGGATCAAAGGAAGAGCCCAAATACAAGAGGATTGGCACAAGAGGCAGGCACTCAAACTATTTTTGCTTCATGCCAGTTTCATATCGATTAAATCCTTACATATTTCCAGAGTTTCCATGAGAATATGACTTGTAACTAGAAAGAGCCTTGGTGTGACCATGCAGAATGCTGGATTGATCTGATCTATCAGGGCTTTTATGTTTTCAAAATAGGCCTATCAATAGGCCTATTTCAAAATCTCCAGTTAAGAGGGGGTTTTGTTTGTTCCCTTTATACCTATCAACATTTCTTGATTAGCCACTGCTGGGGAGTAGCATTTCAAATGAGAAAAACAGTCCATCTGGACTCTTTAAGCCTTTATCACTCTCTCCCTTTGACTATATTTTAAATATGCCTGGTTATAGTTTTTCACTAGGTGTCACTTTAGTACTATAAGGACAACTAACAGCCCTGTTCTGATGATGGTGGAGGGGGGAAAACAAAATCCCTAAATTCAGCTAAACTATATTAAGCCATTATTTCTCAGGAGACATCCAGGGAAATGGCTAATTCTTAATCAATTAGAGAGGTAGGGAGGAATAAGCTATTTCACTTCTATGAGAAGAGTCTGCTCTTGCTTTGCACAACCAAGCCACAAGAGGGGAAAGAAAGTACAAAGTCATGTCAACAGAGCTGGTTTAGTGATGCCTCACTCTTAATACCAAAAGAGAATTTCTAATGATATTCCATCACCAACCAGAAAATTCAGAGAAGCAGCCAGGTACTTAAGGAGGGTGGTTAACGGTTCAGCCCCCCATGAAATGTGTCAGGTTAAAAAACCTCGTTTACTCATGAATTGGTTAACCAGTTAAAGTTAATGAGTAAACCATTTTTTTAACATGATACATGGGGGGGGGGGGGTTGAAACCTTAAAACCCTCCTCGAGCTACAGCAGCAGAGCTGGGAAAAGGAGAGAGAGCTAGCCATACCACTTAAAAATTCAAGCAGTTGTAGTTCAGGCATTTGTAGTCCAAAAGAATAAGTTTTCTCAACTCAAATCTGTACCAGACTTTTAAGAAAAGCACACTGTCATATGGCCACAACATGAGACCATAGTTGCCTCCTGCTTTTATTCTGGAGGGTCAGCATGTTGGAAGGAGCTCCCTGTGGCGCAATGGGTTAAACTCTTGTGCCGGCTGGACTGATGAATGACAGGTTGGAGGTTCAAATCCGGGCAGAGCATGGATGAACTCTCTCTGTCCGTTCCTGCTCCCCATGCAGGGACATGAGAGAAGCATCCCATAAGGATGGTAAACATCAAAACATCCAGGCGTCCCCTGGGCAATGTCCTTGTGGGCGGCTAATTCTTTCACACCAGAAGTGACTTGCAGTTTCTCAAGTTGCTCCTGACATGAAAAAAAAAGCATGTTGGAGTCCTTTGAGTGTTGGACTGGAATTCTGAGAGACTAGAGTTTAAATCCAGTTACCCATGGAAATCCACTAGGGATCTTGGGCAAGTCATTACTTCCACAGGCTAAGAGGAAGGCAAACACAAATGCCCTCCGAATAAATTTGACAAGGAAACCCTATGGTGGGGTTGGCATAAGTTGGATTTGACAAGTTCACTTTATGGCAACCCTACCATAAGGTTTCCTAGCCAAATCTATTTAACAGCAATCTAATATTCCTAAGGTCCATAGAGGATGTGGGGAGCCCCTCTTCCTCTCTCTTGCACACAATATACCAAGCTTCAGGTAAAGAATTTCCATAGTAGAAGTGCTCACTGTCATTAAAGCGTGATAATGATTATATTAAGCACCCAAAATGTGTTGTTTCTAGTTCAAAAGTAACCCTTTTGCAAAACCTTTTGCGATTTTAGGCTACTGATCAGAATGTCCTAGTGAAATGTATCCCACCTCACTCTCAACTCAAGACTTCTTTTATAAAACAATCCTTAGTCTTCTCAAGTCACATTTTTCCAGTAAGGTAAAAAGAACAATAAATGAATCTGAAGCAAACAAGCCTGGAAAGAATTCCTTAAGGATCTGTAAACAGAATGCACAGCAAGAAAGCATGCACAGAGAGTGCCAAATGTAAACACTCAAAGCTTTCCATGCTGTGATGCCATCAGGGACAGAGATGATCTTTGCAAAGGTTACAAAGGTCACACAGTGTTTGTTACATTTATGTGGCTGACTCTGCCATGTCAAGTTTAGATCTGGATTTGGACCAAGCCAAAAATCAGTTCAGCGTGACGTCTCAAGACAAGACATTAATCTATGTCATTTCTCCCTAACCACAGACCAATACAGATACAATTTAGCTTTTCACTTTGGGAAAATGAAACAAAATTTATATAGTGGGATTGCATGCAGTATCTTCCAGGGAGCATCTGGTTTCCAAGGCACTTTTAAAAACATCAGACCCAACTCCATATTAGGAGGATTATGAAAAATTAACATAGTAGCCACCAAAAACTGGCACTGCTGTTGCCACCATAAGCGGCTACACCAGGTTCCACTTATGACCCACCACTTTGCCAAGGGACCCCCAATCAGGACCAGACCTATCCTTTACCTAATTCTACCCTCCCTTTGCTTGAATTTCCCCATCACTCTATAACCAATTTTAATCATAGTTAAGGATTACATCAGGTCACATTTTAATCATGGCAAACACTGACCTGCTTCCCTTTTAACTAGAGATTGCTAATTAAATCCAGTTGCAAATAATGGTTTGGCATTAACTGTAATTAAGTGTTAGGTCATGTTCCATGTATTCTTCTCTAGTTTGTTCTCCCAACTGTTATGTTTATCATTGCCTGACTCTTGTATAAATTACTATTGACTTTTTTCATAAATTCAGTTGGTTCTAAACCAATTCAATACCTGCAAATCTGTCGTTTTTACAAAAATGCTTTCAAAGTGCTATACAATGGGCTCTTGATATTCACTGGAGATTATTTCTCCCATGGATACCTAAATCCATTGTAATTCAGTGCTATACAGTGAGCGCTTGGTATCCACTAGAGTTGGCTTCCCCATGAATGCCCAAATCCATGGATGGTCAAGTCCATTATATTCAGTGCTGTAATAAAATGGCATCCCTTATACAAAATGGCAAAGTATGATTTCCTTATTGGATTTTTAAAAAATGTTTTCAACAATCCCACAAACAGATATGGGCATTAAATAAATAAATAAATAAATAAATAAATAAATAAAATTGCAAAACATTCTTTTTTCTAGTTTTGGCAAACTATAATAGTCTAATAACCAGCAGCAATTTACCCAACATCATCATCAGGAACCAGAGTTTAACAACTGCATGATACATATTTCTCTATCATATAAAAGGTTCATTCAACATCCACAAAAATAAGATATCCCGTGTTATAATATCAACTGTGAATATTCAAGTCTTCACAAAAATCACAGCATCATCAATGCTTGTGTAGTGATCAGACTGACTATCAAAGTGGTCAAAATAAAGTAAATGATTAAAACAGTCTGGTATGTTTACTTATCTTTTTAATACATCTCTAAATCTTTGTGTTCTATTTATATCTATAAAGCAGAATACACTAAAAGCAGTCTTTTGCCAAAATTTGAAAATGAACACACAGCAAAAATAAATATGAACTAACCAAAATAACTGAATAACTCACAAAGATGTGATAACAGCCAAAGATCTGTTCTTTTGAGCTAATTATCCTTTAGCACTTGTCAACATACACTATACTCCAGAAGGCAGGAGAAATATTTCTTTCGATTACAACTCCATGATCAAGAAAGATGAGAAATAAGGATGTTCAACATATAGGGGTACAGATTTAATCAACATCAATGGGGTTTTATTGTACCAAATGTATGCGGTGCAAACGAACAGAATATAAGCCACAGTTATTCTCGACTAAATGAATCAACAAGAAATAAATGACAAACGGAAATGTAAATAACTGGTTTTGCCCCAACAAACATACCACTTGGAGAGAATTATCAGTGAAATCTATTTCTATAAGAGAAATCTGAATGCAGAATGCAGACACCAATTAATTCCAATTACATATATATGAAGAGTTATTGCCTTCTGTCCCTTTGTATTGCAGACTGGATAGTACATGTTTTGGTCTCCCCAATCTAGACATCCATTGCAGCACAAATAAAACAAGGATCATTTTGAAAACTTGCATAGCATACATCACTCTTTGAAAAATGAGTAGAAAATGGGAAAGATTAAAATACAAGCCATAAACAATAAGAATACCACTTTTCACAGTTACCTTTCTACAACATCCTCTCCATTCCAGCAAGTTGAGCTGTCTTTCATCACAAGGTCCCCATCACAGAGCCTTTCTGTTAAAGAGGCATAAAGAGTTCTGGACCGTTTCATGTAGGTGATGAATTCCCTGAGAATTAGAAACACATCATTAAAACAGAACGTTAACAATAGCAAATTGGCATTTTAAACTGCTTACTAATCTGGATAATGTGTAAATCATATGCACAGCACACCTTTGCGTTTGAGCAACAGGTCAGCTCTTTCTCTAACAATTCATGGTGTAACTATTCTACATAAATATATGCACAATCTACTGTGAGATTCTTGTGCTGAAAAACAGCCTTAGGAAGGAATGGTTTTCAGTGGAGGAACTGAAGAGCTGATTAATTTTTCTTCCTCCTTTATGTTTCTGCTGAAAATTATCACCTTGATTTACTTTCTCCCACTACTAAATTCCAAACCCAGTTTTTTCAAACTTGTGGATTTTTAATACTTTGGAGCTTTGCAAATCCCTGTCTGGAATCCCCAGGGGAGAGATTGTTTACAGAAAGCTGAGGCAGAAACATGGTGACTGGAGAAAAGGTATATTTCATTATATACTTCTGATATAAATTTCAAAATATACACATGTCCAAGACCTCCTTTAAGGCCTCCCCCAGTTTCGTGGGCCCTCAGTGTCAATTGTAAACTTGGCCTAAAATGACCAATCGTTCACCCTTCCCAGGAGTCAATGTAGCAAGAAGCCAAGTATCTGCTAAATTTTTGATTTAGTACTTTCTTTGTTAGACTGGCTGAGGGAAGCAGATGGTAGAACAGTGTAAGTTCCAGATTTTGCATGAACTCATTCCTCTTAATGCATGCAACACTATGCCATGATTGAACATTGTGCATAAATGCTTTCTTAATATGTCCAGGAAGGACTAGGCCAAGATTTAATATTCTATTTAGATCCATCACCTCCCCCCCCCCCAACAAACTACTAACTCATAATTTTAACTGTAGTACAACCATCATGTAAAGAGAAAACACACATTTGTATATTTTTTAAAAAACATCGAAGGAGTACCGGTAAGTTATTTTATTCTGCAGTTAATTTCTAATTTATAACTGCTTCAGGCAATTGAAAACATGTCAAAAGAGATGCAAGCTCATCCTTTAGTGCCTGTTACACTTTGGCATTACAAGAGCAAATTCATCACTGAAGTTGGACCATTATTTTTATGTGCTAGTGAACAAGGTGAAGGATGCTGGTTTGGTATGGCCAAGTTTGCAATTTGTGATTTGAAAGAAAAATATTTCTGTCAGTGAGCTATGTGGTGAAGTTCTAAGACTAGGCATCGGACTATATTTGCATTAAGTGATGGAAAAGATATTATCAGTAACTAGGCCTGGGCGGTTTCGTTTCGTTAATTCGTAATTCGTTAATAATTCGTTAATTTTTCCAATTACAAAACGATAACGAACCATTCTGGAGCAATTTTTAAAAAAACGAATTTTTAAACACGTTTTGTAAATGCTTCGTATTTCGTTATTGTATTCGTTTCGTTATTGTTCTGAGGTCGTTTCGTTATTATTTCCGCATGTCTGGGGCAAGTTTTTTGTTTAATTAGTGAAAAAAAATATAATATCACACCAACAGTCAACGACAGAGGGAGAGGGAAGCTTCAGAAGTTTTTGGAGGTTTTTTAGCGTATTTCGCGGTCGCGTCCGCCATTAACGAATCGATTCGTTATTGTTTCGGAAATCGATTCGTTAATTTTTTACCATTTACGAAATTTCGTAAATATCGAACTTTTTAAAAGGAAAATTTTGTAATTATTTTAAATATCGAAACAAAAAAAAACCCCAAATACAAATCGATTTTAGAAACAAATTTTTGCGTTGTTACCCAGGCCTATCAGTAACCATTCAAGCATCCTGTTTTGTATTTGCTTCCATATATATTCTGATACCAAAGCAAGAAATAACCCAATATTCCATAAGTCCAAAGAGGCAAGACTGTGTCATTTGTAATATGAGTACCAGCAATTGACGATATAAGAGGGGGTCCAATTCCTCTTTGGAGGGACCCTGCTCTACATGCAAGATGATGTTTATGCCATTCCTCCTTTTGGAATTGCTCTGTTATGGAGCCAGCTTTACCTGAAATGGAAGTCAATCCTTTAATTGAAATAATAGTTTCTCCAGCCTTACAACTTGGCAGCTACTTCCAAGCAATTGATTTTAGATAATAAGAAAAAACAGGACCCTGATCGTATCTTAATGAATTATTATAGCAGTTTTACTAACAACAGGTGCTTGTGCTCTTGTCTGCTTCTATATCCAGAAAACCTCAGGCAGCCTTTGTACTACCCTTGGTCCCATGTAAGCCACCCTGAGTCCCTTTGGGGAGATAGAGGCTGGGTACATAAATAAAGTTGTTATATTATTATTGTTGTTGCTTTGATTTGAGGAGCAAGGTCCGCCATATACTATTTTGCCATAGAAAGCAAAATATCCTGATCCAACATCATCCACATCAAAAATAACACCTGGCTCAGAAGGGTGGGGCATCATCATACTATAGCACTGTATAAAATTGGAAGTTGAGTATCCATGCATTTTGGCACCCACAAGAGATACTGGAACAAAACCCCAATGGATATCAATGTTCAACTGTGTTATGATTTATTTACCTTCCCTTAGCCATGAAAATAGCAGATATCCCATCCCCCAGTCATGTTTCCAACAGATAAAAAAACCTCATCATTTTAAATCTGGAACTCAGATACTCCACTTTACAATAAAGTTTGAGCACATAGTGAACACAAAATTCTTTCTTTTGTTGTTTTTTTCTGTTTAAAGTGCTAGTTCTAATGGACAAGCAGTGGTGAATGTATGGTCTTCCAAATGTTATTGGATGGAAATGCCAGCTGTCTCACAACTTTCTGTCTTGGATATGGTTGATTGGAGTCTAACACCATCTGGATGATTACATGTTCTCCATCCCTGATTCAGCTTTTAAAAGTATTTTATCATAACATTGAACAAACCCTACTATTCTCAGGATGTGTTTGGAGAGCTCATTTCACAAAGAGACAAAGGTATGTTGGCTTTGTTTCATTCTTACCGGGACATTTTTTTCAAACTTCTGGATTTGTCATTCTTTGAAGCTTTCAGAGGCAGAGAACTGGATTGGGCCAGGGAGAATAGTCAGAAGAGGGGAGGGAGAAGGGGAATTCAGGCAAATGAAGAAAGAAATAAGAAACAAAAAGTAATAAATTATTTGAAAGAAAAGATAATCAAGAACATGCACAGGATTAAACCAGAAAAGAACAAATGCAATTAAAATATGCTTCAACCTATTTTTTTAAAAGTGGCACAGCCCATCCATAGTTTAATCATGACAAGAAGGTGCTCTTTTCAGTTTGGTGATTTAAGCTATTTTTTCTCTGAGACACAAAAGGAAAGTTATCTTTTTTAATTAAAAAAAACACCCAATAAAAATTGTTATAAATGAAATTTAAAATGCTGAAAGTAAATTGACTGTATGTATCTGTCATATCCAAATGTCACATAAAAAAGAGTTACTGTATACATGTGAGAACAAAGAAGAACAAATGATTTGTGGATGAGAAGTACACACCAAAATGCTTAAGACAGAAAAAGCATTTGTTTTCAGGGACATAAAATATGAAATCTAATAGTCCCAATCAGAGATCTAATTAATCAACTGAACATCTATAACATGCATAAGTATTGATTTAGCAAGTTGCCAGATCTACTATAGTTGGAACTAGCAACTGAATTTGAACCGTTGTTTTGTCTCTAGAAAAATTATGTATTGCTCTTTCATGTGCACAGGGAAGGTAGTGAATGAATGAATAAATTAAGTAAGAGGAGCAAAAAATCAATTATATCAAAAGCTACAGGTTCAATCTATAGCATCCTTAAATTGAGCTGGGAAAATGTTTATAGCGATGGTTCCTGTCAGAGGAGATCACAGTGAGATAGATGGACCAATACTCTGAGTACATGATGTCAAGGGAACCAAAACCCACAGCAGTATCTTATGCTCTTATCCAAGCACTATAGATATCTGGAATGTGGGTGACATAGAAGAACCATTAAAAAACCTTAAATTTTCAGATATATTTTAAAGAAATAGGTTCCCAGAAGCCACTGCAGGGAAGCCTATGAAATGAGGAGGCATATAATGATAAAAATATTTCCATGTATCATTAAAGTTCAAAAGCGAGTCACAGGTAATATAATTACAGTGAAATCTTTATATTGTATTACTTCAGCTGTTCCTTTCTCCTATAAAAGTTCAAATGTTTTGCTTTTGAACAGACTACAGGCCCAGTTAGTCTTTAGTGGGAGGATATATTAAAGTGGAGCCCAGATCTCTTTGCCAAAGACCTTGCATTTTCAGATAGCCTGAGCTAGGCTTATATTTTCTAATCAAACAATACATTCTGCATGTATTGATTAGGATGCTGGTTACATGGATTCAATATGGTAGCTCTCACTTTTCCAAGAATCTCAAACCTTTGCAATATTCCTGTGTTGAAACTCTCAGGAATAAGTGAATAGTATTTTCAAAGTTTGCATTTCTGAATTGCTTTTGGAGAAAACAGGCAGGGGAAAGTCGCTTGCTGTACATATGCTGGAAAGATGCAGTGTCGAATATATATAAGCAAACAACATGCAGATTTGATGCAAGTTTCAGCCATGCCAGCATTATCCTCAGACAGACAGGTTTTGCAAAGTTAAAAAGGTATTAGGAGAGGAAAATAAATTTAGATGGTGATAAAACAGAAACTGGTATCTGAGCAGACACAACAGCAACAAGGAATAGAGGAAATAAGAGAAACATACATGAAATGCTTACCAATTTGGAATTGATAACATCATCATCTTGGAAAATGATAGGGAAGTAAAATTGTCCTACTCTGTTAACACTCCTAAACACATTGCTCACTAATTAATTGCTATTGAGGACTAGAAACTTCTTGATTTACAGTGCTGTAAGTGGGGTTTGCTTTCTTGGATTTGGTACCAGTCTTTCTTTCTCCACTTATATAATGGAAATTGGACAGTACCCAAGTAGAGTTATGCTATCCAGAAGAGATAGCTAGGGGTACATTGTAGGTGCTATCCAGCTGCCATTTTAAATCCAGGGAAATGGAGCAAACTTCATTCTTTCAGACTTCCAGTGTAAGTACACTGAAGAAGTATTATGCTCTGCTAGCACTTTAAACCATGGTCATGGGAACTAAAAAAGTATAAAGAATTAGCAGAAAATGGCTCTTCTTTTCCATTAGCTACTGCAAGAACCACACTTTCCATGAACAGAACCCAACCTACAGGATCTTTGGATCCACCTGTGTGTACAGTGCCATATGGACAATTTCACAAAACATCCAGTTTAAAACTGGTAACATACAGCTACTATGAAAAACAAAATCTGTCCCATTAGGTGGTCAGGGAAAGCAATGACCAAGTGTGCATTACTGATGTTCACAATTCTGAATCAAAGTCTTCTGAAAAGAGTGGCTATGGAAATGAGCGCTGGATAGTAGAACTGTGGTAGCCAGAACAACTGGATAAAAACAATTATGACTTTAAGAAACATCAAGATTGGACATATATGGGGAAATGTGGTGTCATCCGTGTTACCTCCTTTTATTGCTCAGAGAAGCCGAATGTGTCATTGTGAGAGATGGTGACTCAATTATCTCCTTTGCTTGAACAATGTTGTCTGGTAAAGGTTTCACACTCTTTTCTTCAGGCTGTCCACACACTTTATCTACCTGCAGCAAGAAAGATGGGAATGGGAAGTAAAATTACAAGTTAGTGTTTTGTTTTTTAGAGGGAATCTCTGAGAAAAGTCTCCCCAGGTCTTACATTGGGGGGGGGGCTTCCATATGCAGAAGACCACATCAACATCGGCATTTCTGTATTGTCATTTCTTTCAGAATCTGACTAACATGAACTCTACAAGTCTAATGGGAGAAAATCACAACACAAACTTTGCCATTGGCATTGCTCTTTTGACATAACAACATCAGTAAGATTATTACAGCTACAAGTAATCTTACTATCCCCAAGGTAGTCCAAACTGTATTCATTTTTTATTATAATATTTTTTATCTTTCCTTTCTTCCTTAAAGGAACTCACTGTTACAGATCCCTAAGAACATAGCTAGCTCCTTCTTCTCACTGACTATTCTGTCTTTAGTCCAACTCTTCCCTGGCTTTGTCAAATCCAAACTCTATCTGACCTGTGATTTTGTTTCATTCTTTTAACTTACAGCCCCACTTCGTAAATCATAACTTGCTACTTCTGTCAGCCTTGCTCAGTAGTTCCCTTCATACCTAGGAATTGGGGAGTGGAAATCTAACTCAAGGGATAGTGACCTTGGTGGATGTGGCAGAATGGCAGCAGAAAAGGATTAAAGTAGTAGAAGAACAAATCAGAGGTCTTGGACCCAGGGTATAAAAAGGGTGAGTCAACATGGTAGAAGAAAGAAGGTCAGGATGATGCTATGCTGATGAGGCAAAAGGATGACTAGGGCCCCTTCTACACTGCCATATAATCCAGATTATCAAACCAGATAATCCACATTATCTACTTTGAGCTGGATTATATAAATCTACACCGACAGATAATCCAATTCAAAACAGATAATCTGGATTTTATATGGCAGTGCAGATGAGACCTAAGAAGAACAGAGTAGTACTCTGAGCCAAATACTAGGGGCACATCTAGACTGACACTTATTTCAGGGGTGATCTAGCATCATAAATGTCCCCACAAGGACTTCCACAGCTGTTGCAGATATTGGAAGGAGTCTCTACTAACCAGTGACACAAAACATGGGACCCCCTGCCCAGTGAAGCTAGAATGGCCCCCTTGCTGCTGTCCTTCCAGCGGCAGACTAAAACCTTTTATTTGGGCAGGCTTTTAAAGAAGGTGGTTTTTAAGATCATGTCAGGGGCTGCTGTGGTTTTATATGTTTTTATGGATTTAATCTGAATGGGTTTTTTAAAAATACTAATGATGTTTAATGCTGTTTTAATATTTGATATTTGTATATTTTAAATTGTATGATGACGTTTTTACGTTAAACCTCTTTGAGTATCCTGTTGGAGAGATAAAGTGGGGTAATAACAACAACAACAACAACAACAACAACGTTACTGGGAAGTCACCCTAACCCCCACTTGTTCCCATGTAGTAGTAGTAATAGTAGTAGAAATAATAAATAAATAAATAAATAAATAAATAAATAAATAAAACTTTATTTATATCCTCCCCTATCTCTCCATGGGGACTCAGGGTGGTTCACAGCAAACATTCAATGCCATAAAGTGCAACCAGAAATAAAACAACCATAAATCCAACAAAGGACATTAAATAACAACATGAAGCAATAGCGAGATATCACAACAAGTTAGAGGTCACATAACTAGACATCTGAGTAGTCTAGTTATTGCTTTCCCTGACGTCAGTCAGGTTGGCAGGGTGCTAAGGGCACTCCCTGTTGCTCTGGCTGACATCAGGACAAGTGACAGGGAACAGGCAGGTATCTTCTCTTGACCAGAGATTACCACAACATGGAAGTGTAGTGATGTGGATGGGACTGCCATCCCATGTCTCCAGGTCACCTGACCCCTGGGACCTATGTGGTCAGTGTAGTGGCCAGCAATTCATTATGCCAGAACACAGAATCCAAGGCCCTGTGGATCCAAGCTTCATGGCAGGAAGCAAAGAGGAAGCAACTACATGTGGAACTAACAGAGCCATGAAAGCAGAAACAGGCAGAGACTTAATTCATCTCTGAGCTTTAAGTACAGTAGACCCACTGAATCAATGTGAACATGGCAAGGCAATTGTTATATGAATCTCGGTGATTCAGTGGACTTTTGATCGGGACTGGAATATTGAATTTAGGTTGGAGTCACAGATTCTGTGATGATGCCAACCACCACAGAAAAAGCAGGAGCAGCTGAATAAAAGCCCATTACTTAAGAGATTGGCACTTTTCTGCAATCACTTTTTAAGCCTACGTCTGACACTAATAATAAAGGCCAAAATTGAAAGTGAAGACTTACTATAACAGATAAAGCACCTGTTTTATGATATCATACGTTTGCTTTTGCTATGCTCTTTTATTTTACACGATAATAAGTAGCTCCAGTAGGTGCTCTTGTCCACTGATTTTTCTTAACTATAAAAATCCACATATATGAATTATACCACACATCCCTTGAAATTATTGTAGGAACCACCATCCCACAGCTACCCAAAATAGAAAGGAAAACTAATTTAAAGTCTTTTGAACTCATGGGGTACTTAATAATTTCATATTTAACATTCTTACAGCTATCATCAAATTTCAAAGTCATTAATGCAATTTCAAGTGAAATTCATTTTTAAAAAATCCTAGCAATATGGTGAGATAATGTTCATATGATTGGATGTTAAAAGGATAATGACAGTCTGAACAAACACTTCAAGGAGTAATAATTCTTGATGATCATCTCCCACCTTGTTAGTCATGATATTTGGCTTTGAATATTGATAATGATCAAAGGTTATGCCGAAGGGTATAATTGCTCTAGTCCAGTAAGTATGGAGAAATCTGTTGGGAATCCTTTAAAAGCTCTCAAAAATATTGGGTAATACTTCAGAAAGCTAACATACAAAATCAGTTGCAAAGATTTCCATTTTAATTCGATTTCTATTTTCTAATTTTGGAAATTAATTACTTTGGGGTACAGATTTGATTGAACTTCATGGTTTTTAAAATGAAATTAAAATAACCCCCAAAATATAAGTGAAGTTTCGTTATCATCTTTACTTGTAAATCACATATAAGAAAAATCTGAAGACTCTTCAAAATTAAATCATAAAATTGAGTGAAACAGCAATTAATCAAAACAAGTCCTACAGAAAACATCCACAAGCCAAGTTCTTCCATTTTAAATCATTTTGACAATTTGCAACCTGGTCTAATATAAGCAGTCTGATCTAGTACAAGATATCTTTGATTCCTAGTTTCTGATCTAACATTGACTTAATATAATTTTAATATAGTTTTTATTTTATATGCATCTTTCACGTTTGAATATCTTAACAGAAAGTTAGACTAAAATAAAACAAACCAACTCTCTAATTGTGTATTTGGCATATACATCTGTGAATCACAAAGTATGCAAAATGTATTATTTTTCATATTGCTTTGTAACATGTATTATATATTACAATGTGTATCAGTTTCCTCAGATACAAAGTAACAATTAACAAGTTTCAGCTGAGGGTAGCTAACAACTGTGGTAAAATAAACTGTGGTTATTGTTAGAGCTACAGTTCATCACCAACGGATCATCTACACCAGTGGTTCTTAATCTGTGGATTCCCAGGTGTTTTCGCCTACAATCCCCAGAAATCCCAGCCACTTTACCAGCTGATAGAATTTCTGGAAGTTGGTCAAAGCATCTGGGGACCTACAGGTTGAGAGCCACTGATCTACACAGACTGCAAACAGCGATACTGATATGGAGTGAGGTATTTTAGATCATCATTGCCATGGTCTGCAAGATAAGCCCCGAGCGAGCTGGGGGGCTGGCAGATGTCCACACTACACACCTCTGATCCAGACCAGTGGTTGAGTGGAATCCACACAGCCCAGCAGCACCACAACCAGTTCAACGCCACTGAACCACCACCCTTACCTTATGCCATACAGTACCCTTTGCAGTGACCACCACAGACTAAAATGGTGATGGTTATCACTTGGTGCCTATAGTGATGATAGCCAGAATGACAAAGCAACATGAAGGGGGGGGGGGATAATCACCCCTTTCTTTCTCCCTCCCTTCTTTCTCCTATCACTTCATCACTCACACTATAGTTACTATAGATGACAAGAAATGATCATCATTTTTTTGTCTGGTGGTCACTGTAAAGTTCAGATTAAAGACACAAGGTAAGTGCTATCCCCTGTCTCTGACCTGCCTGAAAGTGGGATGATGGTGTGAACAACCACAGACACTAGAGGATATGTCAAAACTTACACTGACCCAAAATGTTGATGAGATCCTAAGTTTCAAAGAAGCTCTGGAGCAACCTGTGGCTTTTCTAAATGCAGAACAATGTGAATGGACTATGTGTGTCCTGTGGACACCATGGAGTCCATTCATCCCCAAGCCAATTCATATGGCCCATGTAGATGGGCCTTCAGCTTCCTCTCAAAAGAAGCAATGAATAATTAGAATTCATTGCTTCTTTTGAGAGCACCTGATGAACCAACCAGGACATAGCATATTATTTGAGAACACAGAAATTATGGACCACTCTAACAATTATCATGTCAGATTACACAGAGAAGCCATTGAAATCCACAAGCATGTGGACAACTTCAACAGAAAGAAAGAAACAATGAAAATGAACAAAATCTGGCTACCAGTATTATAAAAAAACCCCTCTAAAATCATAACAGTAAATAACAAAACTCAAACACAGGGGAACTCCAGACAAGAAACAATCAGGAACAACTAATCACCTTTCAACAAAGGATTCCCCAGGCAGGAAAAAGCCACACCTAAAAACTGTCAAGCTATCAAATGCTAATCAAGGTGGCCAGTTGAAACATTCACATCTGGCTCCAACGAAAAAGAGTTCTTTCTCCCACCCTGGACTTTCCACAAATATATAAACCCAATTTTCCTTGTTTCCAACAGACCTCACAACCTCTGAGGATGCCTACCATAGATGCAGGTGAAACATCAGGAGAGAATGCTTCTA